CCCCAAAACCCCAAAACCCCAAAACCCCAAAACCCCTTATTAATTATTAATCATTGGAAATTCTATATTATTTTACAAAAAGATGGATTCAGAGTCGATTGATTGTCTTAACTCTATACAGGAGTATAATATCTTGATAAATGAAGATGAAATGAACAATGAATATTTCAACACAAATATCAGGGGCTCGACATGCCCACCTACACCTGCTCTATCAGATGTAAACCAGGAACAGAAATGAGAGGTAATTCTGATGAATAATTGTCTATCAACTCCTTCAAGCACAAGTATGAGTAACTTCCTATGCATTAACAATTTTAGAAAATTATAATTTAAAGAAAAGGGATCTAAAGAGCTCTACCAAACACTCTTCTCACAACACAACTTCTGAGAGTAATAAGGAATACAACGCCAAAATAGAGAAATAGAAAGATGCAGAACCGAGTAGCTGCTCAGAAGAGTAGAGACAGAAAGAAGTCAAAAATGAAAACTCTGGAAAAGGAAAATACCCAGCTCAGTCAAGAGATCAACAGACTTTCTAATATCTGTAAAGGATACACCAGCCAGTTACAAGAAATTAAGAATATTATTGATGGCTATTTATGAGAGACATGAATTAGCTCATTTAGAAATAAATTGGGTGAAAAAGTAACCAACCTTAATTCACCTAAGAATAACCTTGACACTAAACATCTTAAAGCATGTGGCTCTTTGCCAAGAGCTTCTTCAGATATCCAGAAGGATGTCGGAAAGTTAGAATTGTGGCGATCAGAGGAAATTTCTGATATTGAAGTAGACTCACAAAATCATGGTAGCAGAGACAATGAGGGGTTTAAGATGCCAGAACCTGTTGTTACAAATACATCTGCAATTTCTCTATCATTAGGAAGCAACGTGCCACTAAATTTGTTCAGTATTTTCCTCTCAGTGGCTTTAGTTTGATGATTTATGTGCTTCTGATTCATCATGGACAAACATTCTCCAGAAAAATCAGGAGAGAGTCAGAGTAATATACGAAACCTCCAAGAAACTGGGTGGAACTTTACTCCAAATGCTTCTATCTTTGGGGATTATGGGGGAGAAGAATTTATTTTCGAAAATCATCATCATTCAATAAGAGGGATGGATAACTTCATGGACTTTTTGAAATATCAACGATATTCCTTCTTTTCCAAAGTAGAAAGTGATTACCTGGACGAGCCGGAGAACGACACTTTGCAGATCTTCAAACCTGATGAAACATACACTGAGTTGAACCCCAACAACATTATTCAGGATAAATTGTATAGAGCCCGTGATGATTCGAGTAGAGGAATGTCAGAGGATGATATTGAAAGTAAGAATAAGAAATATCATCACATTGAATCTATTTTATGAGACTCCTCGTTTATCTTCTCTGAAGATAACAAGTTTCTCTACGGTGATGACATCAACTACCTCCATTTGTTAGTCAAGACAAATGGGGCTAAGCTGATAAACTCTAGTATGGACTATTTCGAGAAATCTGGAGATCCTCTTGATGCTTATGATCGCTGAAGTGGCTACGAGTGTGATGACAGCAACATGATTGAAGTAGGATGAAAGATATTCAGCACGGCCATGGCTAATATTACCTCTTAGCTCCCGTGGTGCTAGTCTAGCTGAATGAAAATTTTTAAAATCTCTTAATTTTCAACCTGATTCTAAGCTAATGGGGTTTTGGGGTTTTGGGGTTTTGGGGTTTTGGGG